AATGACACTAAATGCAGGAAGAACACAGGCCAGTGGGTGGAAATCTTGTGGCTCTAGGGGCAGTTGAAGCATCTCAGTCCTGGTAGGGGTCTCCACGTAGCCCCTCTGGCTCCAGAGCTCTAGCGTAGCTCCATATGTCTTGTCGATGGAAATGTCTCGCAGGGAGTGAACCTATGTCTTGCCTCCAGCGAGCTAATTGTCTCCTTAGTGCCTCCAAATGAGGTCATCAAGCTGCGACCTGATTGACAGGTTAAACCCCACCCCTTCACTCTTAATCCTCTCAAATTGACAACAGATTATATAACTACCACACGAACATTTTCTTTTTTCCTTGTACTCATTGTTATTGTCTCCCTATTTCTCCCTAACTTCCTCCGCTATACCCCCAAGAAACCATTAATACAATTACTATCGCTAAAGATTGACCTATCCTGGATTTCATATGCCATAAAACATTCAAAAACAACAATAACAAAGTAAAACAGAGAAAAGCCTCAAGGGATAAGAAAACAGAAAATATTAAAAATTAGAACAAGTTTAAAATGGATCAAAGGGGAGATCACATGATAAAGTTTTAAATTTTAACCTAACTGCATCTGCAAAAATCCACTTTGCAATGCAATCTGTATGATAGCAAAGCTATTCATATCCCTGGTGTATGGTCATAAAGGATTCACCAGAGACTTTGTCCATTTGTATTTCCTTGTTCATCTTTTTTTTTTTCAAACTGAAAAAAATTTAAAATGAGTCAATAGAGAGATGAAATGATAAGATATTGCATTTCAACCTAACTACACCTGCTATAGTCGACAATGCTCTCTTGCTAACTCTTGAGGCTGTTCACATCCCTTGACTATGGACACAGGCTATTCCTGGCAAACTTAATCCATGTGTAGACCCTTCAAATGGACGTTGGCTCTAGAGTGTCATGCATCTAGAAGGAATAAAGAAGACCGAAGAAGAATCGATGCATTTCAATTGTGGTGCTGGAGAATATGGAAAGTACCATGGACTACTGAAAGGACAAATCCTTTTAGAAGTATTGGAAGAAGTAAGGCCAGAGTGCTTCTGAGCATCAAGGATGGCAAGTCTTACATACTTTGGACATATTGTCAAGAGAGAGCAGTCCCTGGAGAAGGACATCATATTTGCTAAAGTGGATGGAAAGCAAAAAAGAGGAAGGCTTTTCAGGAGATGGATTGACACAGTGGCTGCATAAATGGGCTCAAGCATAGGCATCATTGTGAGGCTGGCACTGGAGCAGGCACTGTTTTGTTCTGTTGTGCATTGGGTCCATATGGGTCGGAGCCTACTTGATGGGATGTCACAACAACAAGAACAACTGTGTTACATTGCCTTCTGTGCCCTCTGTTCTTTTGAGGGGCACAGCATCCTTCATAGTCCTTCCTTCAGAAAGACTTGCTGTGGAAAACCCACTAAGTTAACTGGAGTTATCTCTGCTTTCTTTTCAATTGAGATGTTACTGTCTTTTGTCTACTCATCGTTGGTTTATTTTTTGTTTGTTTCTTTGCTTCCTGTTTGTGTCTTGTGTGATATTCAGTTTACGGAATCCAGAAGAAGTAAACTTATAAAAACAGTAGCTAGATTCAAAACTATCAAAGAGCCCTGGTAGCATAGTGGTTATGTGTTGAATTGTAAACTGCAAGAGCAGTCATTCAAAACCACCAGCTTTTCCTCAGGAGAAAGATAAGGGTTTTATTCCCTTAAAATAGTTATAGTCTTGGAACTTCACAGGGCAAGTTCTATCTTGACCTAAAGAGTTGCTGTAAATTGGCATAAACTTGATGGCAATAGGTTGATTTTGTTTTTGTGTTTGTTTTTTTGAGGGGCAATGGGAAGCTAACAACAATGAGTATAGGAAGAAAATTCTCTGAAATTGATTTAGGTGACGATTGCACAACCCACTTAATAAGATTGAATGATTAAATTGTATGTTCTATGGAGTAAATGCCAAAAAATGATTTTTTAATTATAGAAGGAATACACAGAGTCACTGTACCAAAAAGAATTGCTCAACAATCAACCATTTCAGGAAGTAGCACATGATCAAAATCAATGGTATTAAAAGAGGTCTTTTTACTTAAGTCCTACGAAGACATTCACAAAACAAAACAATACACAGTAAAAATCACGAGACTTCAGAAATTGAAAAAATACCAATAGAAATATTTCAACAAACAAAGGCAATGCTGGAAGTACTCATTTGTATATGCTAAGAAATGGGGAAGACATCTGACCAAGCAAGCAGAAATGACCTGTTTTTATACCTACTCCAAAAATAGATGATCCAATTGAATGCAGAAATTATCAAACCATGTATTAATATCACATGCAAGTAAAATGTTGCTGAAATAATTTTAAAATGCTTGCAACATTACTTTGACAGGTAGCTGTCAGAAATTAAAGCTGGATTCAGAAGAGGACATGGGATGAGGGAGACTTGCTCATCTAAGATAGACCTTGGCTCAAAGCAGAGGAATCAAGAGAGATGTTTACTTGGGTTTTAGTAAACAGTCTACCGTGTAGATCATAACAAAACATGAATAACATTGAGAAAAATAGGAATTCCAGAACACTGAACTGTGCTCATGAGGAATCTATCTGTATGTATAACAAGAGACAGCATTCAAACCGAGCAAGGGAATACTGAGTGGTTTAAAATCAGTAAAAATGTGTATCCAGTAGAGATAGCCTTTCACCATACTTGTTTAATCTATATATTGAGCAGCTGGATCATATGATGAAGAAAGCATCAAATGGGAGGAAGGCTCATTATCAGCCTGGGAAATGCTTCCCGAAAGCCAAGAAGACATGAAACACTAATGAAAATTAAACAAACAAATCTGAAAAGAAAAATTACCATAAATGGAGAAAAGATTGTAGCTTTAGGATGGTGAAGGACTAGGCAGTGTTCATTTCTGTCACTCTGAGTTGGAAATGACTGAGAGAAAAGAAAGAAAACACAGAAAATATCTCTGTTACCTACCGAAGGACATGCATTGTTCTTATGCTGGGTGGAAATGTTCTACGTGTGCTCACTGGGTCCAGTTCCCTTGTTATTTTACCTCAGTTGTCGGTGTTTTTAGTGATTTTCTCCTTATTCTGCCAGCAGTTGAAAGTGGCATATTAAAGTCCCCCAGGGTTATCGGGGGCTATAGCCTGTTTCTCCTTTCATTTTAGTAATTGTTTCATGTACTTTGGAGCATTCTAGCTAGATGTATATATATATACATCAATATATATATTGATGTTAGGTGTATTCTTATGTCTTCTTTCTGGATTGACTTTTTTACTACTATGTAATGGCCTTATTTCTCTTTTATAGTATATTTTAATGTAAATTTCTGTATTGGATATTTTGATGTAAATTGTGATAGGGGTAAGACCACTCCTACTCTTTTAAAAAAAAACTGATTTCAAGGAATAGTTTTCTGCATTCTTTTATTTTTAGTCTTTGTATTCTTATAGTTAAATGTATTTCTTTTAAACAGCAAAATGAAGGACCATGGATTATTTTTGTTTCCTATGTGTATTTATTTTTAAATTCATTCTGCCACTCTGCTGTTTGAATGGAGCACTTAGATCATTTATATTTAAGATTATTACTTAACATAAAATACCCATTTCTCTTGTTTTTTTGATTTTTTTAAAATTTGTTCTAATTTTTTTTTTTGCTTTTCAACATTTTTTTTAAATCACTTTATTAGGGGCTCATACAACTCTTATCACAATCCATACACACATCAATTGTGTAAAGCATATTTGAACATTCATTGCCCTCTCCTGTTTTTTATATCGTGTTTCGCTTCTTATTTTTGGTTTGTTTTGTTTGGCTGCTTTCCTGTTATAAGCCTTTTTCCATTCTTCTTCTCTTTTGAGGTTTTTTCCTTGGTGAGTTCCTAGTGGTTCCCACACATATTAATGAGCCCTGGTAGTGCTGCATGCACAAGGCTGGCCTTTCAAACCCACTAGCCACTCTGTAGGAGAAAGAGGAAACTACATTCCCACAAAGATTTACACCCATAGTCTCAAAAAAACCCATGTGTGGTCAGAATCAACTCATGGCAATGACAACACTTATATTACATGATACAACTGATGATTATAACAATGTTTAACATAAGACCAATAACAAATCTACTCCTGAGATGTTCCTCTTTCCCACAGTTGTATGTTCCCATTAATTACATACTTGGTAAGTATGTTGGTAAATTTACTTTGTACTTATTTCTTGGTAAATTTACTTTATACATATTTCCTACAAACTTGATGCTGTGTTACTTGCAGAGGTTAATTATTGAGCTGATTCTCTAACACTACCATATATTTGGTCCTAATTATTGCCAATGTTGCTGACTTTTTTTGTTTTGTTTTGTTTGACATCAGTCTCTATTCTCCTTTCAGGATCTTTATCCAATACCTTAAGTCTGGAAGAATTATGTTTTCTCGTTTGCAAGTATAATTTTAATTTTATTTTTTTTGCTTTCCTAATTATTGTGCCTGATTCACCTAATGTTAAAAACTCATCTCACATCTGTATACACAGAACCTACCAGACAGAAGGGGCTCAATAATGATTTCAAGCATGCTTGGGTTTTCTTAATTGTTCGAATATATTGATAACTAAACATTTCTTCTCATTCATACAAAGATGACTTTATCTGGCTTTCATCATCTCCAAAAACAAGAGAAGGGAGGGTGACTTATACTGGGTAACCTCGAAACTAATTATTTCAAGGAGCCTACGAGGTATGACCTATATTGTTCCAAGGAGCTTTTTACTCTACCGAAAGACATTCAGAACACACCGCTGTTACCATGGGTTCAAACTAAAAGAAACATGGTCCAATTTGTAAGGAGCTTAATATCAAATAGACATTCATTTTATGGCTAAAGTTTCATTATCACCAAAAGAATAACATTGGCATGACAGATTTGCCTAATTACATGCCTGATTTTCTGTATTTATTTGAACATACCCAGACGACGCAGACTCACTCCTCATCCCTTTGACTACTGAAAGGCGGCTCTGATGACTCTGTCACTAAGGGGCTGGGTGGGCCGAAAGTTGTCTCCCAAAATCCCATCACACCCTTCCACAAGCTCTGCTCCCTTCACATGTGTCCTCAGCCTTCGAAATTCTTCTATCTGATATCAAAAACAGAACAAAGCAGGTCAGTCATTTACTAGGTATTAACAAAGCTGTTGTTAGATATACAATTTGAAGCATGCATGAAAAAAAATCAAATTGCATACTTGAAACAGAGAAAGACATGTGAATTCTTGTAGGTGTAAGACATTACATAAAACTTTTAAAGCGGAATACAGTCAACAAGCACAGTGATTGAGATCTCTGGGAAACAGCTAACCATGGAAAGCGGCTGGTGCTATTACTAGGTTAATGAACCATATCTTGCAAGAAAGTTTTTATTTCTGTCTGTAACATGATCACACACTTTGCATGCATAACTTTATTCAATGAATTCTGATGTTTCTGTATTTTCACTTTAATTAGCTATTAGATTTGCTCCATGACAGTTTCATCCATGACTTTCTTGGCTGGGTATATAACCTTTTGAAGATCACAGGTCCAAAGAATACCACTGATTTCCCAAATACATATCTAAATCATCCATGTAAATTTCTAAGTTGGTCTCCCTTTATCAGGTGCTCTGTCTGGGCCCAATGGCCCACCTGTTGCATATGCTAAGGTACCCTGTCACTCTGCAGCTTTTCTAACTCACTTATCCTAAGCCCATAACCTTCCAGACATGACTCTCTGAAAAGAACTCAAGCAATAAGGAAGTTCACCTATCAATTTATTTACCACAAGGTTCATGCTCTGTTATTTCATTCAAATGCTACACTGCCATATTAAACAGACCTCCTTCATTCCTTACCCAGAAGAAACTGAAACTTAGTGAAAGTAACATTTCCAAATTATATAGGGGCAAATATCTGATAATTGCAAGCCCACCTGCATTTCTCCCAACTCACAGCTACTTCTTCATAAATTCTAGTCAAATCAGTATTATTTATATGTGTCTGTGACCCAGAATATTGATCAAATGTAATCTGAATAGTGTGGATCTACCATATTCTCACCACACTCTTTTTATTTTTTTCCAATAGTTTTATTGAGGTATAATTCATATATCATACACTTCCATAGTTCAGTCATATATAAAACATTGTATATACATTGCCACAATCAGTTCTCATGTATCCTCCCCGCTCCCCTATTCATTATTTGCTCCCCAATTCCCCTCAATCTCCCCCCACCCTCCATATCCCTATAGGCTATTACATCAATTAATGTCTCTATACTTCTGTTCCTTCTATCCTTCATAAACTGGGAAACATACCAACAACAACAACAATGAAAAAATAATTGGTGTGCCTGTATACGCAAGAAAGATTAAAAACAAACAAACACTGCTGGCAATATTAAAAGAGCCCAGAGAGAAAACCTCTGTCGAGAAACAAACAAGAAATATTTAAACCTATACAAACCCAGAATGGATCGACGGAGGACAAATTATCAGGTAGCATATTATACTATATACTATACTTAATCTACCATAACCAAGTTTTCAATAATCTCTGTCTGATACTAAGGCTGTTTGAGTAACCTGAAGAGCCTTAATCCACATAGGTACTCTACAGATGGATTGCAGGCTTGTCCTGTTTTCTTTATGATCCTCACTGGGTAATTTTTATAGAGAAGCCAGTCAGACAGGCATTGGCACTGTTCAATCTATGCCATTGTCTTCATTAGACTGTGTTAGAGTTTCAGAAGGAATACAGGTAGTTGCTATTGTGCGTCCTTTGAAAAATTTCTAGAGGTTTAGATTACCTGAGAACCCCTAAAATTATTTGTGGAATGTGTTTAATTAGAGACTTTAATGAGTTTAAAGTCTCTAAAAGCTGCCTGATTTGTTAGAAAACGCTATGTCTTTTCTAAAGGAAGGATGTGGTGCTTAAGGTTGTGAACTCTATCAGGAGACCAGGATGGTAATCCCAATTCTGTTACCATGTGGCCAAATTTACTTCACCTCCTCAAACCCCAATTTTCACATATGGATAACAGACACAATAACAATCTTCACAAGGATTGTGTAGGAATAAATACAGATATTTAATGAAAAACACTCAGCATAATACCTGGCACATAGGAAATGTACAATAAATACTGGTACTCATATAAATAATATTATCACACAATTTCTTATAAAGTCAAACAAAAATGTTAGTATTGGAGATAAAAAATGCCATTATGTTTTTCGATGCAAAAATAACTGAAAGGCATCGGAGATAATATGCAATCATCTCTCCTGGCGTACACTTGATGTGGAATCATATGTAATATTGGCAGAACTGTTAATGAGCAATATGGGCTAGAAACTTTACTGCCTAGGTGCTGTGTAAGAAATAGCCAGTATTTTGCTGAATTTGAAGTTTTTTTAATGCAAGGCAAAATGTATATTTACATATTCTGAACAGAAGATAAATTGCTAAGGCCCAACTTAGCATCTTCTGTGAAAACAGCTTCTTCTAGGAAAGATGAGCCAGATGATCGCTAATCACTATGTTCTCAGAGAAACCTGTTTCACAAGACATGTCTTTCTCTGACTACAGCAATACTTTATAGACATCATGCAGCAACAGACTGATGGAACAGCAAGTCTTTCTGAAATGCTGATTTTCCTGAAACCACCTCTCAAAACCCTTTCATAACTTCAAGTGGATTCAAGTGCACACTAAAAGCCAGTTCCAGCGACTGCTGAAAGAAAAGATGATGATAAATGAGATAAATATTTCAGCATAAGAGCTTCCAACAAAATCCAAAGGTCAGGACAGTATGAGGCCATCATTGTCACACACATCTGTACCCAAGTTGCATTGACTTGTGATTCTGCTCTATCCAAAGTAGCCTTTAAAACTTTTTAAAAGAGAAAACAGAGATCCAACACTTCCAGTGAGACATTATCCTTCTGAGAGCAGCAAAATTGAACAGCATCTATTCTCTGAACATTAGCACTCCAATTTTCATACCACGTTTATTTTGATCTTCAATGATTCACAATTCTGAGTCTACTAAAAATTCAGCTTTAAGGCTGGTTTTTGAATGAGTGTCTTCAGAGAGTTAATTTTCAGGGTATATTATTTGGTATTAAGTGATTTTAGGGACAGTTCTAAAGAATTATCGTGACTCATGCACTATATGCAATCATGTCAAAAGAGGAACATCACTCATAAAGTCAGTGCTTTCATAGCTTTATCTTCAAACAGTGACAATAAGTGAGTTAGAATAACATAATTACTTGTGATACTGGTGAAATAAGAGAATCAAAAGCAAATTGTACTTAACAATCTATTTATATGTGTGTGCTTTTCTGTACTGCGTGGACCTTTCATATACTACTACAGTCTTGTTTTAATTTCTTTGTTCATTTTCTTCTACCCCATCATCTAACTTTCTATTTATTCTAGATAGAATTATTTTTCTCAAAATAGATGTGTTGAAATCTTAACACCTTAAACCTATGAACATGACCTAATACCAAAACCGGGTCTTTGAAGATGTCATTAGACTAATGTGAAGTGTAACAAAATAAAGCAGGTTCTAATCCAATAAAATAGAAGAGGAGACAGGGAGAAGGAAGCCAAGGAAAGACAAAGACTGAGATGCCAATGGTGCTTCTACAAGAGAAGAAATGCAAAGGCTTGTTGGTCATTTCCAGAATCTAAGAGAGACGCACATCTATTCCCTCTGAGCCCTCAGAAGTACTGAACGAGCCCCGGCCCTCCAGCAGACAATCCACTTCTGTTCTTTTAGGCTATCCACTCGATGGTGCTCTCAGGACAACTATGGGAAATGAAAACCAGGTCTACAATTATTGCTCCCTCTTTCTAATTGATCTTTCCTCCAGGCCCTGGAAGAAGTCATGGTGCTTGGTAAACTACCGTAGCTGGGGCAATGAGAAAGAGGAAGACCTTCTATAAGATAAACTGGCGCAGTGGCTGCATCCAGGAGACCAAACACAAGAACAGCTGTGAGGAGGCCACAGGACGAAGCAATGTCATTCTGTTGCACAAAGTTGTCGCTCGGAGCAGGACCTGACTAGATGACGCCTACCGACAACAACATTTACATATCTACAAATCTACCATCAAAAAACGATTTCATCAATTCTAAGTAGTCTTCCACATTTTATGAATCTCTGAAATTGAGATGTGTCTTGTAATTTATAATGTCAAACTTGATGAAATTTGGTAATTTTATTACTGTTCCTGGAATCTCATTTCCAAACCTAACACTCCAGCTGATTTTTCTTTCTTCGTCTTCTTCTTCTTTGTTAACTTGAGCTTTCTAATATTTAGGACACTGTGTTACTTAAACTTGTTTAATGGTTATAGTTCCCCCAAAAGTGAGAAAATTACACTAGTTTGAGTTGCATGGGGGAAATGGGGCAGAATAGCACTGTGGAAGAATTGCACATTTGAGAAATCTTAATCTCCAACTCTTTAGGTCTTGTCTGGTGTTAATTCCTATAAAAGAAATTATTACCACACTCTCCAGCTGATGTGATTATTTCATCCATTTAACCTACTTCTTGGACATGAAACCAATGTACACTTCCAGCTTTCTACAGTGAGGTGTGTCCACAGAGCTGAATTCCAGCCGAGGAGAAAGGAAGCTTAACTGATAGTCACCCTTTCTAAAACTGTTTCTTGAAAAACTACTGTGATCCTCCATGGTCTTCCACTCTCTGCTGGCTGCATGTCCACAGTCACAGAATCCCTGAACGTGATTGTGCTGTTGATTGCTGAGCTTCTTGCAAACTGGTTCCATGAATAGACAGCACATAGAGCAGCCCACACCACTTATCAGAAAAACATATACTAGATCTTATGTGAGAGAAATTCAACTATAACTCAGTTATTTTGAGGATCATCTACTAGTGTAGCTATCATCTTTTGCTGTTAAATCCCAAATGTATATAATATTATTCAAAACCTACTCAACATTTCCTAATAATAACACATTCTTAAATTTAGAAATTTAGATGGAAATTTCTAAATTATCCTTCTCCTTCATCAAATTAACTCCTAATATGATCCAGGAGCTATTCCATGGGCTGCCTAGATGGGGCTGGACTCTCTCTTTATGTTTCTGGAGCACCTTACTTACTACAATGTATCATACTTGTCTGCATACTTATCTTCTTCCCCAACTCCTACAAGAAAAATTCAAGATTGTGTTGTCATTAATCTCTGTATCTTCTGTGCCCTGTTGGCACTCAGGAATAACTTCTTGTAAACATAGATGACTGAATAAATAAAGCAATGAAGACTCTTCATATTTAGAATATAAAAGTCCAAAGAAGAATCAAAGCTGGGGAATGTCTTAAATTAATCCCTAGAAACACAGAATTAAACATAAACTCTTAAATTTAAAGACAGAATTGGAAGATTACAAGACAAACAAAAGGAGGTTTTCCTGAACAGTTAGTAAACTTGCTGCTTCAGGAAATTGTAGGCCATATAAAAGAAGTTTATAAAAAGCCACTGAAGAGCACTTGGCCTGTTTTAGAGCACTGTCCAGCCCTCTGAGATTGATCATAGAGGGAAATTATGCCAATCCTAGTGCTGCTCTCAACGGCGAGTCAAAGTGACCCATGTGTGTCAGAGCAAAGTGACATGCACACTTTTGAATGGCTGATATTTTGGAAGGAGATCACCACACCTTTCTTCAAAAGTGTCTCTAAGTGGACTCAAACCAACATTTCAGTGAGCTGCTGAGCATATCAACCATTTGTACCACCTAAGAACTTGTATGGGAAGCATCTCTTAGGTGGATCTTTACAAGACAAGAGACACTAAAACACCTCTTTTGCAGTAATACCAAAATCAGGCTTTAAACAAACAATGCTTCAGTAGTGTCGTGGTTTATGAGTTCTCATGGTAGTGATTATTTATCCCAGTGCCTGGCCCTTCTTGAAGCAGTGCATGTGTATGTGGAGCTGGATGTGGGAGACAGGTGACCAGAGAGGAGCTAGAGAACAGGCCAGAATTTTCTAGGGCATCATGTCCAGATCCCTCAATGCTCTGCACACAGCGTTTCCCTGGGCACACTGTGTAAGATCTAATACAAAGTTGGTGAAGGACTTCCAAAAGTAACCAGCATTCTCACTTCGCTTTTAAGAATTTTCTCCCCTCCACGCCTGAGGAAAGCCACAAAAGGGTTTGGCTCAGAAGTTTGGCTATTTCGGTGGTCTTTATTTACTCTGTATAAATTCAATCTAAAAATACAGATCAAAATGTTATGTGATTTTGTTCATCCATGACTTTCGAATTGCTTTCACTGACTCAACACATTTGACCTTCATTTGGAAAGATGTGAGGGATCTAAAGGGAATTAAAACATTTTTTAAAAAGTGTTTCTCTTTTATAGAAATAATTGGCAACCTTTAACTCAGAACTTCATTCCAAAAGATTTCGAGCATGCTCACCTGTAGCTGGGAGATAGTTAAAGGGTATCGGAATAACACCCAGGTCACACCTTCACTGCATGGTGGGATAGTAAGAGAGCCTTCATACACCCAGTAATCTCGAAGCAAAGGGTCTGTACAATGAGGGAGCAATTCATTAAACAGGCAAGTTAATTATTAATAAACCTGAAGACTCCAATAACAATTTTCAAAACTAAAAACTGCCCACGTGGTCCTACTCAGACTAATGTCATTTTCAAGCTAGCGCCTCACTTGTGTCTTCTTACACTAATCATAGTGGACACAAGTAATGAATGAAAAGCAGGAGGACTTCTATTTGTATTCACAGTGATTTCTGTCAATGTGTTCAATATGGCAGGATGGAGGTAAGAATGAACAGATACATCACGTTAAGTTATATTAGCAAAAATATATCCAGAGTATTTTTACCCTTATTAGACAAGTACCTGGCCGATTCATACCAAATCCATTGCTTTAAGAGTTGATTAGATTCCATTTCCTACCTATTATTTATTAAATACCACACACCAGATACTGTACTAATCATTTTACGTTCATTCATTTAACTCTCACAGCAAACCAATGAGGCAGGTATAATTGGCATTGTTTTTCACACAAGGAAACAGATCGCAGCGAGGTTATGTATCTCGCCTGTGCAGGTAATCATTGGCAGAAGCAGAATTCGACTCTATACAGATTTCAAGGCTTATGTTTTCAATCAGTATGTTCTAGCTACCTCTATGCTGGTTGTTCGTGAGCAAAACAGCAAAATAATATGAAATCATACTTCTACAAAAAAGGTATTCCTGAATTCAGTTTGCTCTATGTTATGTAAATTCATGGTTAAGTAAAGTATTCAAAATATAGCAAAACTTGGTTTTCTGTAGAACAATTTAAATGTAGAAGGTGGAAGATATAATGAATCCACCTATGTCCCTGTTTGCAACACTAAGAAACAACACATCATTTAGACAGTTGAAATTTTATTTTAAAAACACTGTAACTCAAGTTATATTTTGAGAAGTTTATGTAGAATTTTTATCTGAACAGATATATTTTAACTACAATAAAATCCAAGTACAAATGCCACTATGAAGAAGTATAACCTTATAAAATTAGATTAAAATGTTTTATTTCAGGGAAGAGATTTATAAGGACGTCATGGATCAATCTTAAAACTATGTCATAGTTGTCTTAATTTGCTGGTGATTTACACAGAGTGAAATTTTTTACAAAGGATAAATTTAGAAAAGTTATTCATGGATTAGGGGCCCTAATAGCAAAGTGTTTGTTATTTCAGAAGCTTTGCTCCCATATTTAGAACAACCTAAAACTGGTACACACTAATAATAATTTTAACTATAAAGAAATTTTGTTAGCAAATAATATATACCTATATATAGTCTAAGGAAAATAATGTGGTCATGTCCACAGACAAAATTTGTTTTATGCGATTGAATGAATGCTTACCTGGTAATAAAGTGTTAGGATTAAAACAGGGTATTATTTTAGTTTTCCCCTGAAAAAAGCAAAGAAAAAATTCCATGTTATAAAATTTATAAATTATTATCATAAAAATTTCATTAGGAGTAGAAGCCTGGATTGAATGTCTTCTGGATGGCATCAACCTATCTGCATAGATGTCTGGGTGTCTCTTTGGAGGTACACTTCCAATAAGATTTTTCTATGGATTTTTTTCCCTGCTAATGAAGATCTATTATCCTTGTAATCCTTGATAGAAAACTGACAAGTGGTGTCTACCGTGTACCATAACAGTAACTTTCTCTGCTCCCAGCATATCCATACTTGAGACGTGGGCCTCAAAGCTCAAACCCTGGCTCGGAGGATTATTTTCAAATGATTTTCCAGTCCCTGCTTGGATCTCAGCTCCTAACCTCGTTAGCATTATAAGCTGCTTCTCAAATTCTTACTTTTCTCCATGTGGATTTTGTTCTAGTATCTGTTCTACTTTCCTCATTCAGGGAGCAGCATGTAATAGTTGGAAGAAAATATTCAATTCCCATCAACATTCATTAAAAATGTATCGCTTTCCAAAATTTGACACTCAAGGTTACTATTTTAAATAATGTAACTTAAATTTCTCATGCCTTTAAAGCAGACAGAGCTACCATGGTAGGAAAATGTCTTTTATAGAACTACTCAAATGATGCTGATACAATCAAGGAAATTTTCCCATAAGATATCGCTTCCTTACCTCCAGGTACAATTTTTGCACATTGAAAAAAGCTTACTTTTCCCATAATAACTAAAGTCCTACCAGCTGAAAAAATACAGACTTTCTTATCTTGTTCCTATTGGAATAATTAATGTTGGTCAAAATGTGTCCTTGCCCCTTTTACATCAGCTTCTTTTGATTAGCATGGGTTTTTCCTAAATTGCTGTTTATGATATGAACCCAAGAGATCCTCAGTGGAGGTGATTGTCTGTCTGACTTAAGACATCCTGGGTTTGTATCTTTGTAGAGCAAATCAGACTCTAATCCCCATAATAAACTTAAAAATGAGTTTGGGGTCCTTGCATCCATTTCTATGAAGCAAGTTCGGTGCCTATACTGTATTTTCAGTGGCCACAAATTATTAATCCTCCCAAACCTGCTCAAATGTAATGACGATATGAGATTAAGGAAACTTTTGGGGGCTGAACTGGGCTTCCCAGGGATGTTGTCCTCTATCACTACAGGGTCATTGTGATCTACATCTCTTTTTCTGGGTTGTTATCATGTGGCTTCTTTGCATTACACATATAGTGAGGTATCACTTGACATTGAGGATACTTTCTGTGAAGGGATGCACTATATGATTTGAAAGTTGCATGGACATGCCTAAATCATGAGCAATAACATTCACTGGTTTAACACCATTACATTTGGTTTGACTTCCAAATTAACCCTTCTCCTTTGCCTCTGACTGCTGCCATCTCTAGCATTGGCGTTGCTGTGTTTGGGAGACATGATGTACTTCAGGGTAGCATTGCAAAGGAAAGTTAAACAGGAGGTAATGCTACAAATCTCAAGAGACGCACAATACATGAGATTATATGCTGCTGCCTATGAGTCAGAACAAACTTTTTATTTGTAAAAACAGAAAGTTCACTTTAAAATGTCAATGGAAGGTACAGTATAATACATAAGCGAAAAATAGACATAATAAAATTATATGCATTACAGGATAGATGGATAAATATATATACCTATGGATATAGAAGGGCTTTAAAAATTCCCTGAAAATATAGCAGCAAATGTCCACAAACTTTTTGAAGTTCCTTCGTATACCATACTATTACGTGCCTGACAGAGCAATTGCTTTTAAATAATGTTCTTCTAAAAAATTACTTACTTTATACTGAATATCCTGGAGAATTTCAGTCACAGCCTTCAGGCCTATATGTTCTTTTCCTATCTGAAATAAAAACAGAACACAACCATAAAAATTTCAAATTCTTAGTTTTCACTCCGTTATAAGCCAAGCAAAGTTTCACCTGAAAGTCCTTCATGGAAAACAAATAAATGACCTCTTTATTAAAAACAACATTTACATACACTAAAGATAATAAAGGTCAAAATATAAATTAGTAAATCAAATATTAAATATCAAACATCTCAGAATCCATCATAAATTCATGTTCCTATGCCCCATTTGTAATCATATATAAATCTGTAATATGAAATTGTCAATAATAAATCTTTGTAATTAAATGTACTCATTGCATGTCCTTACTTTTCCATCTTTACTTATGAAATTTAAGGGTCAGTACTACAAAGATTTTCTCATTATTTAAATATATTATTTTTACTCAGAAAAGAGTATGTTGACAGCAACAAACTCAGGGCAGTGTGTGTGTGTGTGTGTGTGTGTGTGTGTGTGTGTGTCTGTGTGTATTTTTTAACTTTTATTGTAAATTGGGTGAAAGGTTACAGATCAAATCGTCTTTTAAATCAACAACTAATATCTATTTTGTGTCATATCATTAATTATTAAGGCCTCTACTGTGAAATATATCTTATCCCATTTCCTTTTACGGTTGTCCATTTCCATTTCTAATCCTTCCAAACTATCCTTAAGTAAATATTGCCTTCTTGATACAATTGGTTGATGATTCTAAGGATATACACTTTCTTAGTGTTAATGTTCCCCTTATGGACACACGTATTATATGGCTAAAAACTGAGCCAGGGAGTAAGCTGAGTTCCAGCCCTGAAGGGTTGTGAAGTATCAGTGGTTCCACCAAGTCTCCGTGTAACTAGTAAGCCTAGTTTTTTTCATTTACTTCAGTTTCACTTCATATTTTTCTTGTACTCTATTTAGGGACTTCTAATAGCTTTCATAACAGATGATAGTGGTAGCTGAACATCATCTAATTCTTCTGATCTCAGAGTTGAGGAGGCTGATATTTATATGGCCCTACTAATCCATAATCTAATTGTTTCAATACATCTTTGATATTCTTTACTCTTGTTTCATTCAAACAGGTAGAGACCAATGGATGCACCTTTGATGGTGACTTCCAAGCTTTTAGGACTCCAGATGCTAAACACTAAAGTAAAATGCAGAACACTGTATTTATCAACTAGGCTATGTCAATTGACCTCAGAGAACAGCACTTCTTGAGAACCACTGCACGTAGTCCTCTAATGGCATTTTTACCTTTAGATAAATAAGAATATGATGTTCTTTTACTCAATATTCATCAGTCAGTTTGTCATACTAAGGGGATTGGCATGACATTTCATTATCAACATATTTCAAATACCAACAGGGTCACCCATGATAAAAAAATATTTCAGTGGAGCTTCCAGACTAAGACAGGCTATATTGAAAAATTATCCACTGAAAATCTTGTGAACAACGTCAAGATATTATTTGATATAGTACCAGAAGATGAGCCTCTAAGGTTAGAAGGCACTCAACATACAACTACATCCACGCAGCAGAAGAGCTACCACCACAAAACAAGAACAACCTCAATGAGGTGGATGGAGCAACAGTTTCAGGATACTAATTTTCTGATGTGGCATGAGTCAAACTGAATAGAAACAGCAGAAATATCTATTAAAATCAAAGCATGGAATGTATGAAGTAAGAATCAAGGAAAATGGAAAGTCATCAAAAATGAAATGGAAGGCATAACTATAAACACTATAGGAATTAATTAGCTGTAATGGACTGGTACTGACCACTTTGAATGAGACAAATATATGATCTACTACTCAGGAATGACAAATTGAAGAACAATGACATCTCATTCATCATTAAATAAATCAGTTCAAATTATGTCCTGAAGTACAATGCTTCCAAAGAAGGATAATATTCATTCCCATGAAAAGAAATCCAGTTATTACAATGATTATTCCAATTTACACTAATACCAAAGGGGAGAATATTGAAGATTTTTACCAACTTCTGTAGTCTGAAATTGATCACACATGCAGTCAAGATGCACTGATAATTATTGACAATTGGAATGCAAAAGAAGGAAACAAAATTAGTGATTGGAAAATATGGCTTTGGTGATAGCATACCAGAGATCACACAATTGTGGAAGAATAATAAACTATTCATTTCTAATAGCTTTTTCAACAACATACATGGCATCTATGATCCTGGATATCATCAATGAAATACAGAAGAATCAAATGGACTACATCTGTGGAAAGAGATGATGGAGAAGCTCAATATCATCTGTCAGAAATAGGCAATAGGCCCACTGCAGAACAATCAACTGCTTATATGCAAGTTCAAGTTGAAGCTAAAGAAAATCTCAAGGATACATTTACTACATTGAACATTGATGACCAAACATCGATGACCCAAAGTTATAAAATTACATCAAAGACATATATGAAGAAACCAACAGATCATTAAAAAGACAAGAAAGAATGAAAACAGTAAAATTTCATAAAGGACTCTGAAACTTGCTCTTGAATGTATGAGGGGGCACCCAAAACAAACAAACAAATAAATAGGATAAAGCTCCACTGAGCAGAGCTTTCATAGTGCACATTTCCCCCCCTGGGCAAGTATCCAGCAATTCGCTCTGAGTTAGTGCACTGAGTGGCATTGCCTAGGAAGCTTCTCTCTGGTCACAGTGAATTTTTTCGTAAAAGCAGTTTTGCTCAAACCTTGTTTTTGGTGAAGGCCGACTTAAGAGAACAGCATGCAGCTGTGAAATATTGTTTCCTCCTCCTGTAAAATGCCACATAAACTGTTGTGATGTTGAACACAGCTTACAAGGTGTTATAGGTAGGTTTATTGTGCCAACCTGGCTAATAAGAACAGGTGGGATTAATAAGGTCACAGTTTGATTGGAGAGCAAAGAGATAAATGGCTCGGCAAGCTCCGCCCCTCTCTCTCTTGCTCTCTGGTGATGGGAGCAGCATGCAGCTGCTTTAGCTAGTTCTCTGCCTCAACTTGTGAACTGCACTACCTGTGGGTCAGCCAACCCATGGATTGTGTGGCTAGAGCTTGAGGTTCCTTCTTGACCTGCTTCACCACAGTTGTTGGTGTATACACTGATTGAGCTTGAGGCTATCAGATCCTATCAGCTTCCATTGTTTGGGTTTAATATCCCATCCAGGCCTGCTTTGCTAAGCTCCTGAGCTGCTGACTGTTGGTGACCTGCCCTGCTATTTACTGCCTGTGACCAGACTCTCTGCATTGTCCTATGGAAGACTCAACTGTCTGCTTCCTTGACCTTGGACCCAGTAGCCCTCATGAGCTGACAGACTTCCAGTATATTAACTGTTCCACAGAAGTGAGTTGAACTGAGCCTTCTGTACTGCTGTATGGACTAATTAGCTGTTATATTCCTTCGTACTGTATATATCTATCCATATATATATACATATATAAGTGTCTGGGTTTTGTTTCTCTAGGGAACCCTGTCTAACACACAAGTATAGCACTATGGGAAAAACTCAAGTGTAGGAGTTGTTTTCTCATTTCAAAAAAGGTGAAATGTCACTTGATGAAAAACATAATTCTGAACATCCATCAACTTCCCAAATGGATGAAAATGTCAATTCATAGTGGATTTCGTTCCACCAGGCCAGACTGCTAATCAAGCTTTCGACATAGAGGTTCTGAAAAGGTAGTGTAAAGGTGTGCAATAAAAAAGGCCTGATTTGTGGCAGACAGAGGAATGGTTTTGCCTAAATGGCAAATGCACATGCTCACACAGCCATGTTTTGTGCAAAACCAGCATGCCTCTCTTGCCCCAGGTATCTTACTCACCTGAACTCATTCCGTGCAACTTCTTTTTGTTTCCATGAATGAAAAGGGACGTGAAATGATAGCGATTTGATGACATAGAAAAGGTGAAGAAAAAAAACGAGGGAGGTGCTGTCAGCCATCCAAACAGATGAGTTTGAAAAATGTTTCCAAGAATGAAATCACAGATTAGACAAATGTATTCAGTGTAATGGAGGGTACTTTGAAGTTAAGAAGGTTGTTTTGCAAATAAATAAATACATACATACATAGCTTTGGGGAAAAAAACATTTTTGGGGGGGAGGGTACCCCCTCACATAATAGCTAATGTAAAAGGAAGAAATAAAAGACCACAATGGAGGGATTCAAAGAATGACTATATAACACAAAATATGCAAGGGATTTTAGTTAGAAAAACAAAAGAGAAGAACATACTCAACATTTTCCAAACTGAAAAATAATTTTAAAATGATTACAGCTGAACATCAACAGAGAACTGCCAGAAACTCAAGTTGGAGTCAGAAGAGTATATGAAATATGGAATAAAGAGTATCATTGCTGATATCAGATGAGTTTGGGCTAAAAGCAAAGATGTTTACTGGTCTTTCATTGACTATAAAGATATTTGACTATGTGGATCATAATGAACTACAGATAACACTGCAAAGAATGGCAATTCCAGAACACTTCACTGTATTCAAGAGCCCTGATATCACGGTGGGTTACATGCTGCACAGCTGGCCAAAAGGCCAGCAGTTGAAAATCACTCACCACTCTGTGGAAGACAGATGAGGCCTTTTACTTCCATAAAGCAAGTAGTTCTGCTCTGCCCTATAGAATCGCTCTAGGGTCACTATGAGTCAGAATTGACTCAATTGCAGTAAATTTGGTTTTTCATTTTAATTGCAAATGAAAAACTCATAAATAGACCCAGGTAGTTATTCAAATGAAACAATGGCTTAAGATCAGGAAGGATGTATATCAAGGGTGTATTTTTTCACTGTACTTACTCAATATGTACACTGAGCACATAATTTGAGAAGATGGGCTCTATAAAGAAGATCGCAGCATCAGGTTTGGAGGAAAACTGGACAATCTGTGATCTATAGAAAACACACGACCTTGCTTGATGAAAGTTGGGAAGACTTGAGACTTAAAGCACTTACTGATGAAGACTAAAGAATGCAGCCTTC